GGTCGACCCTGCTCTTACAGGAAGCCCTGACGTGGCCCCACTCCAAGCATCTGTAACATTGGAGGGGGCGGCTACTCAGGGCCTCCACTCGGACGTTGGACCACCCAACGCGGATGCGTCCCCCGTCAGTGACTTTTTTAGCGACCGCAAGGGGACACCTCAGCCAGAGGGTCCCCATGCGGTCGGGTCCAGGGCGGATCTCCCCGGCCTTCAACTCACCGGGCCCGCAGCCCCCGGCGACCGCCACCGCGGAGACTACGTCCTCCACGGTGGCCGCATCGTCTAGGTCGCGGACCCGGATGTCGGCTCTCTTCGTAGGACGCGCTATGCGAACGTCCTCCTTGTCGGCGAAGAGGGCCGCCATTTTGTTAGCCAGGGCGTCCGCCCTGGCATGTCCCTCGGGACCGGGGATCTCAAGGACCAGGGCGCCGGTGACTGCCCTCCTGGTCCTGAGATCCCCGATCCCCAACTCTCCTAGGTCGATTTGGCCCCTCGCCCGCCGCATCACATCGGCGTAGCTGCCAGCGGGGCAGCTCATTGTGACTGCGGCGGCGCGAGGAGCCTTGGGGAGGACGGGTTTCTTCCCGCCCCCCGTGGCGTTGGAGGTGTTCTTCCCTTCCCGGCCTCCCTTTGCCGCGGCTTCTGGGGGGCGGGTTGGGAGGTCTTCTTAGACCTCCCTCCTCCCTGTTTTTCTCTCCTCCCCGCGACCTGGGCCCAGGATTCGGACCCAGTCTCGGAGGGAGAAGAGCTATCTCGGGCCCCCGAGGACCTCGAGGTCGCAGTCCTCTTCTGAGGGAGGGGGCCCTTTCTTCCGCAAGGGCAGGGGGGCGGCCATATCCTCCTGAGGCCGCCGCTCGTCCCGCTGCTCTTCTTTTTCTTTTTTTCTTCTTTTTCCCCGGCTTATTCCCCCCCCCCTCATCGTTGGGGGCGGAGATTGACGGGGAACGTGGCTGGTTCGGAGGGGTCGGGGAGGCATTATGCGCCCCGGCCTCCGTAGTCGCCCCTCTCCTCCCTATTTGGGAGGCCTTTTGGGTCCCTGCGGCTCGTCCCCCGGATAACTCGGGGAGTTTTGCCCGCAGGACCTCAACTATGTGAGGAACTAGGGCCGTGACCATGGCCTCTAGCTCCTCTCTGGACGTCCCGTAGACTTGCCCTTTGTCCGGGCAAGTCCTCCGCTCTTTTACCGGCCGCGTTTGCTGGGGCGTCCCCCCGCCGGCCGATGCCGCCGCCGCTGTACCCTTCTTCCGGCCGCTAGCGGCCGGATTACTACCTCCGCCGCGCGCCTTCAAGGGGGGGCGTTTCCCGGGGGGAGCGTCCCCCCGCCATGTCTCGCGCCACTTCTTCCCGGCATCGTTTCCCGACCTCCGCCTCCTCGGAAGTCGGGAATAGGGCCCTGATGGGTCCGGCGGCCCCCTCTACCGCCATCTTCTCATCGCTAGAGGTGGACAGGATCCGCCGGGATGCCCTCCTCTTAGTGTCGTCGGGAGAGGACGGGGAGTCATCGTCATGGTGTTCCGCCCTCTTCCTCTTCCGGTCCGCGGAGGAGTCTCTACTGTTATGACTCTCCCGCGGCCAAGTCCCGTGGCTGTCGCCATCTTCCACGTCCACATCCATGGGGGACGTGGCCACTTCCCGCTGATTACTGGAGGGGCCGAATCTACGGGCCTCCTCCAGCTGCGCTTCGAGGTTGGCGACCCGCAGGCGAAGTGACTCGGCCTCCGCTTCTATGCGCGCTCGCTCCCTCGCATCCGCCGCCGCCTCACTCCTTATAGCCTCGCCCGTGCCGGATCTGTCGGTGTTATTGGCCCTTTGCACTAGGGCGAGGCTCGTCGCGGCCATCTTGGCCGCTGCACTCCACAGGGCCCCGCGATAGGCCCTCTTGAGGTTGCGAGACCTCTCCGCGACCTTTTTCACCTCGTCCACGGCTCTGAGCGCCATGGACGAGACTTCGGGCGTGGATTGCGCCTGGAGGCCGCGGAGGATCCCTTTCTTCTCTTCTACCGCCTGGAGGGCTCTGGGAGTCGACGGCTTGATGGAGGGATTGTTGATCTCCTCCTACAGCGCATCTTCCCCCTCCTCCCCAAGCCTGTCGCTCTGTACTACTAGAGCGCTGACTCCACTTTTGGAGCCAGCGCCCGCTCGCCCGTTTGCGACTCTGGCCGATCGGCGCACCGTGGATGGGGACGGCGACCTGATCAGGCCGCCACCAGCATCCCCGCCGCCACTTCCCGCCGCCGATGTCGAGGCTGCGGTCTCGTCTAGCCCGCCGCCCAGGAGGGAGGGAGAGTTCTCCCCCCCCCCACCGGCCGACGCGCGTCCGCGAGAGGCGGACCTTGTTCGCCGCCTCTCCATATTATGTGGGCGAGCGAAGGGTGATGCCGCCCGGCTGGGCACCCCGCCTCCTCCGTCGCTCACGTTCGCCGGCTCTTCGCCGGTATCCCCCTGAGGGCGGGTGGTGACCGGCACGCCCTCTGTCCCTCCCGTTTGTGAGGCCGCGGCTGCAGCCTCACTCGAGACCGCAGGTAAGCAAGCGGTCTCCAAGACCGCCGATGACGTGGCGGCCCTGACCTCCTCTACTCCGATGGTATGTTCTGCCATTGGTAGTATATTCCACCAACCCCGACGGCTCGGTCCTCCGGTGAATCTCCCATCCTCCCCCCCCCCCCC